GCGTCGATACTGAGGTCTGGTCAAAGAGCCAGTATTCACTGTTCTTCCCTGTAAACCATTGTCATGCAAGTGGCAACACAGTCTTTTTAGAGCTTCTCAAAATTCAACATCTTTTATATGTTTTTCCTATAAAAATACTACCTTACTATAGCAGATAACATTTAACTGTTCATGAAACCATTTTATTTTCTTCCTGGTCACCCAGGAAGATTCCATTTTCCAGTCCTCCTTGCATCTAGGCCAACTCTGTGATGAATCCTGCCTAGAGAATATGGGCCCACATGCCTTACCTTTCCCAGGCCGTGCTATAAACCCTTTCCTGTGAGATCTTCCATGAGCTCTTTACATGTTTGGAAATATTCCAAAATTCACATCACAAGTTGGGAACAGCATGAGTCTTAAATCACTACTTAGAAGAGAGCCATCCAGGAGAGTGGTTAACCTAATTGGAGCTCATCTGCATGAGAAATTTTTATTTTGTGAGTTTCTGAGATTTGGGAATCTACCCGTTATTGTGGCAGAGCCTATTCTTTTTTAACCAATGTATGTATTACTCAAGGCATTTTGCCTTCCCTCAATATCACTCAACTTTTCTGCATAACCAAGAGGAGCCTTCTAACTTGAACAGAAATAGTTTGCTTTAGGGGGCCTTGTTTTAATGACTCCCATTCATTAAAGAGGTTGGCAAGTTAAAGAACCTATATCAGTCAGCTTGGCAAAGTTATGCTGTAGTAACTAATGACCCCCAAATCCAAGTGGGATATACAGATTTATTTCCTGCTTAAGTTACATGTCCATCACTGACCTACCGAGGCTCTGGTCCATGCCATGTTCACTGTGGGATCCAGGATGGTGGCATGGCCTTTAACTGGGTTGTTGCTGGGCTTATAGGAGAGGGAAATAGAACCTAGTGATCACATGCTGTCTCTTAAAGCTTCTGTTTGTAAGTGAAAAAACATCACTTCTGCTTGCATGTAATGAGCCAAAGCAAATCACATGGCTAAAGCTAATGTCAAGGAGGATAATACATAATCTTCCTATAGGGAAGGACATCACAGAAAGGGGAACTGGAATATTTGGAAGAATAGTAAACCATCTATCACAACCCTCAAAGAACACTCTTCTTACTTTATGTCTTGAAAGTCACCTTTTGTTTTTATTTATTTATTTATTTATTGAGACATAGTCTTGCTGTGTCACCCCGGCTGGAGAGGAGTAGCACAATCGTGGCTCATTGTAGCCCTAATCTCCTGGGCTCAAGTAATGCTCCTGCCTCAGACTCCCTAGTAGCTAGGACATAAGCATGTGCTACCACACCTAGCTAATTTTTTAAATTTTTACTGGAGAGGAGGTCTCACTATGTTGCTCAGGCTGGTGCTGAACTCCTGAGCTTAAGTGATTCTCCTGCTTCAGTCCCCATGCTGGGATTACAGGTGAGAGCCACTGCACTCAGCCTATCTGGTTATTTTTTTAAAGGTACAGATTAGGTTGCTGGTGAGACCTTGCTTAATTTAAATTCCTTGGAAATATATCCTTCCCTAGCACTGAGTCTAGAGATAAGCAACTATCTTCATGGAAAGTCAAGAGTGTTAAATAACCCCTAACTTAGTGCTCCTCAAATAACATTGTGAGAAAGGTTTACGTTAGCCTCATGATATAACTTTCTTGGGCTGTATTAGTTTTCTATCATTGCTGTACTCTCAAATTTAGCAACTGAAAACAGCATCCATTTATTATCTGACCGTAGCGTACAGGTTCAGGCAGAGCACCTGAGACTGCTTTGAGTCTCACAAGGTTGAAATGAAGATGTCAGCCTCTAGGGATGAGCTGGCTTCTAGGCTTGCTCAAGATTTTGGCCACATTCAGTTCCATGCCATTGTAGGACTGAGTGATTTGTTTCCTTGTTAGCTGTTGGTCCAGAGTTGTTCTAGTTTCTGGAGCGCACTTGCATTCTCTGATGCACATCCCTAGCAACAGCAGTTGGAGTCCTTTTCATTCTTCTCTCCATGACCTTCCCTTCTTGCTCACTGCTCCTCTGCCTACCTCCTCTGCCACATCTCTCTGTCTTCTGTCTCAGTTTCTGCCTCTAAGGGTTTTATGTGATTACACTGGACTCATGCAGATAGTCCAAGATAACCCCCCTATTTTAAGGACAGCTGATTAGTGACACTAATACCATCTCTTCACAGCGGTACCTAGACTAATGCTTGATTGAATAGCCAGAGTGTGGAAATCTTGGTGAGACATCAAGTCCCACCTCTCCTTAGAAGTCTGCCTACCTTATTGGTTGTAGGTATATATGTGTACCAGATAATTACTCAGAAAATTGCCTCAAACCTTTTCATATGGCAGTCAAGTCTGGTAGGTTCTCTGGTATAAAAATTCTACACCCTAGAAAAGAAAATTTTATAAGCAAGGATAGTTCCCCTGACCAGATGTTGAAGACAGGGATAGAACTTTATACCTTTCTTCCCTGAGGACCTCATACAGTTCCCCATGACCAGTTGACAGTCCGTGAATGCTTATTGCTGCTGCTGCTATTCTGGCTGCTGATGAACAGAGGAGGCCCAGGTCACTTATGTTTCAAGCAGATTATGAAGCCCTGTGCCATGTGTAGCGGAGTCTTCGTCAATAGTCTGTTTCACTTAGTTCACAGAAATGGCCAACACAAGATGGCTCAAAACCTTTTCCCATCCGTCATTCAGCATCAGCTTTGCTAAGGAATAGGGTGAAGATATTTGCGTGTTATTTATTGGCAGAAAGCCTGAAAGCATAATGTTTTCTGAAATTAATAACAAAAAATTTAGGTGCATTCTAGCGGGAAGACTCTTTTCTTCCCCACCCATATTTCTCCGAGCCCATATGAAAAGGAAGTTCCACTTATCCTTCCATCCTTTCTGGGAAGTTCCTGAGAGGGGATTTCTGTGTTTCTTTCTATCACTAGCATGGTATTCTGTAAGGGAGGAGGAGTAGTTAACCTGATGGGTAAGAGTCTGTTATCTTCTAGGCTGAGTCCAGTGTCCTAGAATGTATGGTTTGCTTTAAAAGCAGGAACAGACTTCACACTTTCTCTCCTGCACTGACCACAGCATGGAGAGGTAAGAACAGTGTACTCTCTGCTCTTCTTCTTTTTGTACAAGAGTTGCAGCTGGGTCAGGCTGGAGCGGATCTGGAGATGCCTTACTCTCCTTGGCTTTCTTGGCCTTTCTGCACAACTATTGATAAGTCTGTGGGGCAGCTAGTTGGGTAAAAACCCATGTCATCTTCTTGGTAGGCCATATGCTACCCAGCTCTGGGTTTAGGAAAGCCCTATTTTGGCCTCAGCTATAAGCTGAGTGTTTTAGCTGGGAACTCTGTACTACAGGAATTATTGAGTTTTCTTTCATGTATATTTACTCTTCTTTTAGCTCACTGTAGATTTACCCAATAGTTATTTACAACCCAGAGAGGAGTTGGGGACTGTGATTAGACCCATCTTGATTCCAGCATTATAAATACTCCTATAATCTTAGAGTCACAAGTAGGACATTTTTGGAGTATGGTACTAAATTCAGAATCCATAGAGGAAAAGATGACTACATTTGACTACCATATTAGCTAGACAGTTAACATTCTTAATATTAAGATCATCTTCAAAATGATACAAAAATGATGAAAACATCAAATCAAAATGGTCAAAAGATATATATTGTAATTAATTAAAGAAGAAAGGGGTGAAGAAAAACAGCCTCTTCTTTTCACTGTCATTATGCTATCCCTAGATAATCTCATCTAGTCTTTTTTAATTTTAGTTTTTGTGGGTACATAGTAAATATATGTATTTATGGAGTACCTGAGATGTTTCTCACCTAGGCTTGTGGCTTACTACAGTCTACAGGCTGATTTCCAAATTTGTATCTCCAGTTCTGATCTCTCCTTAGAATTTCAAATTAATGTATCCATCTGTTCATTGACATCTCCCCTGCAACAGCAAGCAGTCATTTTAAACTTACCGTGTCTAAAACGAAGCTGTTGATTTCCCAACCTCTCTGCCCTCCCCACAAACCTTCCTTCTTTTTCATTGCCCCTACAAATAATCTATCAGCAATTTTGCAGGGTCTACCTTCCGTATTTCTTCATCCTGTCCTATTTATTCTTTCTTTCCTGCAAAGAACCTAGTCCCTAGTTCAAACGACCTATTCTCTCTGCTTCTGCCCTCATTTCTTCCAACCTATTCTTGTCATAGTAGTATTCAGAAAACATAAGTTCGATATTTTTATCCCCCGTTTAAAACCTTTCAGTACCGTTCCACTTCACATGGAGCAGCGATTTCCAAAACAAAGGCAGTTTTATCTCCAGGTAACATTTAGCAATGTCTAGAAACATTTTTGTTTGTCACCATGGAGTTTGGGGAAGGAGCAAGGTCTCCTACAGGCATCCAGTGGGCAAAGGCCAAGAACGCCACCAAACATCCTGCAGTGCATAGTATAGCCTCCAACACCAAAGCATCTTTCAATCTAAAATGTCAATAGTGCTGAGGTTGAGGAACTCTGTTATAAAATCCAGGCTCCTTATTTTGGGCTATAAAGCCTTTTGGAATCTGTCCTGCCTAATTCTGAACCTCATCTGTCACCTTTCTTTTCTTTTCCTCTTCCTTCTTCACAAAGGCCTTTCTTAGAACATGCCAAGATGGTCTCTGTCTTTGGGCATTTGACTTTGCTATCACATGTCCCTAGTTTTTTTCAGTAGTAGTTTTCACCATCAATAATTTTTGTTTGTTTACATGTTGTATTAGTTTGCCGAGGTCGCCATAAAATACAACAAAAATAGTGGCTTAAACAACGGGACTTTGTTTTCTAGCTGTTCCAGATTCCAGAAGTCTGAGATCAAGATGTTGGCAGGATTGGTTTCTTCTAAGGCCTTTCTCCTTGACTTGTCGATGGTTGTCTTCTCCCTGTGTCTTCACACTGTCTTCCTTCTGTACCTGAGTTCGAATTTTCTCTTACAGGGACATCAGACCTGCTAGTAACCTCATTTTAACTTAGTTACATCTATCAAACCTGTCTCCAAATATACCCACCTTTTGAGATACTGGGGATTAGGACTTCAATACACGAATTTGGTGGTGGTGGGGGGTCATAATTCAGTCCAAGACTCATGTATATTGTTTATGTTTTCCCTGCTAAAATGTAAGTACCATGGTGGAGAAGACCTTTTCTATCTTGTCTGATATCCAAAGCACTTAGGTTGATAGCTGGTAAGAGTTAGTACTCAATAAGCTTTTGCTCAATAAATGAATAGGCTTGACTAGTGAATTATATGACTTGATTACTGATAACATGTGAAAGCAAGGCAGAGAAAATGTCTTGAATGTTTCCCAGGTTTGTAGTTTAGAAGACTGAAAGGCTAGTGGTATCCTTAAACATGATAGGCAGCACAAGAAAAAATCAGGATTTGGGAGAAAAGCTTTAGACATGCTGAGTGAGAAATACCTGAAATATATTCAGGTGGAAAAATTAAGAAGACCTGTAGATATATGGCCTGGAATGGAATGAAGAGATCTTGGTCAAACACATAGATTTGGGCTCATCAATTTATGGGGAGTAGTAAAATCTAGATAGCAGATGAGATTATTCAAAAAGAACATGCATAGGAAGAAGCCTAGTACAGAAACAGGAAAAACACTAATGTTTAAAGGTTGAGAGGGGAAAGCAAAGCTTGTTTGAGAAGTGTCAGGAGGCAGGAAGAAAGGAAGAAGTGAGGAATCAGAATCAAAGGGGAAAAGATATTGAATGGAATGATCACCTATGTCAAGGGATAAGGTATTTCTCAAAGACTGTTTCAAGGAATAACCTTTCCATGATTTACTCCTTGGAAAAAGTGGTCAATTTAGTGAGATAAATGCTGAAATTTACATACTTCTCTTGCAGAATCCCCTAAAACATTAGCATAATAATGTCTCTGAGAAATCTTGCTTTACAGAAACACATACATTTTAATTTCCAAATTAAAGTTTCCAAAGCTCATGATTTGGGCAAATATCTTTCCCTTTTCCCCCCTACGTAACAACTATTAATAATAGTACAGAGAACTGGATCCCAAGGAACACTCTTTGTGAAACCATGTTATCACATAAACAGGTAAACATTGAGAGGATTCCTCTGCATTTGACAATTAGGGACCTTGTCTGAGTGGTTTCCATAAAGTGGTGGGGCCTTAAGGGTGAATAGGGAGGGACAGAATTAAAGCAGTAGGCATAATCTGCTCCTTCTATAAGCTTGATCTCAAAGAAGAGGAAGAAGATAGGGCAGTGTCTTGGGTGGATGGTTGTGTAAGGCTATATAATTATTTTTTAATGGAAAGGATATGACTAGGTTTATAGATAGTAGAGAGATTGAGGAATAGTAGCAAGAGGAGTTCAACAAACAATAATCAATAGTAAAAAAGGTCTACAAGGAGAAGGGAGAAACTAAAATCAGGAGAGGTTTCTTCCCTTTTCTGGAGACTGGAGAAAATGAAAGAAGAGGCTGCAGTGGTAGATGCAGGGTAAGAGGTTGTGGAAGCCCATGATAGGCTTCAGTTTCTCAGACAAGAACATGTGTTCAGAATTTGTCTTTGGTGCTGAAACAAAGGTGCCCTCCCTTTCTTTCCCCTCCACCCAAAAAAGGTCACGTATGATATCGCTCATGTAAAAATCCTTTCTAAATGTCATGATTATTATGCTATGGTCAGAGCATCACCTCTTTTTTGTGCCACTATATAGGCATCATTGTTCTGACCTTTAATCGTCTGGTTTCCTTCAGGTCTCTGCTTCTGGAGCAGACTTATTTTATGCATTTCTGTTTCCTACTACCTTTTACAGAGTGGTGTGTTATAAACATTGATTAGTGAGTGACAGTCAGCATCCCAATCCATCCTCAACTGAGAATTCAGTTAATTGCCTTATTATAAATTGAAGAATCCTAGTACCAGGGTTTAGCTACACAATTCAGTTCTGTACACTTTCAGTGGTAAATCTTATCTAGAATTTTGTCCTGATCTTATTTCTTTACATTCAGTTTTCATGATTCATGCCCAGCTTAGTTGATTTTTATCCAAGATTGCTCTACCTGGTTGTCCCAAAGTGTGCTATCTTTGTATATAAAACACTTATCAGAGTGCAAGATACAAAGCAAGTTTAATAAATGGTGGTGGTCATTATTACCGTTATATGGGATTCAACTCAACCAAGGAGAGCTACATTCCCAAGGTTGCAGTTTTATATTTCTCGATTGTCTACATAGTCTTCTAGATCTTGCCCTTTCTGTGCACATTTTCTTTAATATTTTCCCCTTATGAACTATGTAGTCCTTTTCATCCCACGGTTTAATTGTTAACACCAAATCTTTCATTTGCATTTATTTATTTAATTTACTTACTTAATATACATATTTATACTTCAACATTTTCCCTAGCCAGCATTTATCATCTTTCATTTTTCCATATTTCAGGCACTCCAAAATGTCATTCTTTTATTCATTTCTTCTCCAATGATCAGTTACCAATAAGCCTGAAAGCCATCATTGTAAAATTTCCATGTACACAGCAATACTTCTTTGTTGGGCACTTATTATGTACTACTTACTATTCCTGGTATTGAAGACACAAGCATGGTAAATTAAAAAATAGTCACCATCTATATGGAGCTCACATTCTAGTGAAAGAGTTAGACAATAAACAATTCAGAATTAGATAACTAATGAACTTGTAAACATTAGTTTCTTAGGTGGGTCACCAGACAGTAGAAAACTAACTTATAAAGAATGTGTGGCTTGGGTAGAAAATATTTCTGGAGCAAAGAAAGTATAGGCAAGCTGTATCTGATATTCTAGACTAACGAAGTGAAGGAAGATTATTAGGTCATGTAGTATAATAAACCTATCAGGACCTACAATGGAAAGACTTAAAATGTGATTAACCAGGCAACATGAGGATGATGGTGGGTAATTGGAGTTATGACCATTTTGGTGAATTCTGTCACTATTGCCTGAAAGCAGCCTTGCTTAAGAGTTGTTGCTGATAACCTGCTAGGGATCAGAGTTTGTTTTGTTGGGATGTCAGTAGAGGTGGAAGGCATTTGTAAAACATACTTTATGACTTGGATTTTCTTTTAGATTTTTAAGCAGACAGGCATTTCTCATTTTGCAGATGAAGGCAGCTCACTCCCTAATGGATTCCAGAACCTCACCCTATTTCAGTAGAAAAAGTCTATTGGAAAAATTATTACTTCAATTATGAAGATGCTGAGCTTTTGGTGTTTATGGAATCTTCAGTAAGAAATTGTCACTTAGTACTTCGATATGTAGACCTAGAGTTTCAGAGGGGATTGGGAGTTTCAGGGGGGAATCTTGGTTGGAGAAAGAATATTTGGTATTGTCTTACCCAATGGGAATGAGTGCGATTGCCCAGAAAAGGTGTGCTGCATTTTACAATGTTTAGAGTAGATTCCAGATAGGGAAAGAAGTGACAGTGGAAAGGGGCTAACTGTGAGAAAGTTGAGAGGGTCATTGGATTAGCGATCTGGTTAAGATAAAGAGTTGGCATAAGGAGAATAACTGAGTAAGAGAAATTGAAGAGTGAAAAGTAAAAGTTTGTATTCAGAGAGTGGGGTGACTGAATTTAATCTTTTAAATCTGGAACTATTCTGTGTAAAACAGTTTTGGGCATGCCTGGGGATGACTGGAAGTGAGGAGAGGTCCTGTGGAAAGGATTGTTAGGGAGGGCACAAAAAGTGGAATCACAGAGCAGTGATCGCCATGAAGCTACAAAGAGATTAAGCCAGGGAGGGGCTTAGATGTCAGAAGGCAAGTGAGGATACCGGAAATGCGAGGTATGATGAGCTACGGAATTGAGAAGACAACTGGCCACAGCTATCCTCTGCAGAGAAGACGGGCAAGAGGCACTTAGGTTCTTCTAGAGCCAGTCACAGCCTGCATGGAATTTTGGTTGTTGAGGTTGTGGCAATGCAGATATCTGTGGGTCTTCACTGCATTGGTTCTGGGGTCAAAGTTGTTAGTGTTAGACTTTGTACTAGGGCTGCTGCATGGACTCCAGGAGCTGTACACAGTGCAAGTTAAAGGAATCCATGTTATCTGTTATCGTTAAGCCCCTTCAAGTGTGTCATCTCATGGGTTTTTTTTACAAGCTCAGACTGGGGTTGGGAAGCAGGGCTATATCCATTTCCAGATGCCCTATGGAGGGAATGGAGATAAGGAGTTGAAAATGGAGAATGAGAACTATTTGGTGCATCTTGTGTTGAGTTGGAGGATTGAATCAATGCTAGGAATGAAGTCAGAGCCAGGTGAGGGACCAGAAGTCACTTCAAAAATTACTAAAACAAGGAGGTAAAATTAGAGGATTAGAAGATCACATGTATCCCAGATATACGATAGAATGGCTAGATAGAGAGTGGGTAAGAAACAAGGTCTAGTTATTAGGGTGAAAGTAAAGGTGGGGTTTGGTTATATGGCATATAGTATAGGGTTGGTTTGGTATTAACAGTATGCCTTCTTATTTGCAGAAGGCATACAATTAAAAAACAAAACAAAACATGGCTACATTGGACCAATTAACTCTTGTCACCTTGTGACCAGTAAGATGACCTTGAATAATCTGTTAAAATCTATGGCACTCTGTCTTCTCATGTGTAAAAATTAAGCTATTGGCTCAGGTGATCTCTGAAGTTTCCAATAGCTCTGCGATACTACATCATTTATTTTGCCTTATTCAGGTTCCATCTGTCCTCCAACAACCCCCGGAATCCCCTCTAGGGCCCCAAATTGCACTGACGAGGTCCACTGCCTTCAGGCAAGGCCAGCTCTACTTTCTTCCTAACAGACATTTGGGGAGAAATAATACATATCCTTCTGGAAAGTGAATGACCTAATTTCTCTAGAACAGAATGTGACTGTATTGTTTACATTTGGTTTTATTTTTGTTACCAGGCAATCAGTATCGAGCCTGTTGGAATGATATATGCCAGCTGGGTTTTGTGCCTCATCACACTGGCAGAGAGAAGAGTATGAAGCTTGGAGGAGTGGAGGAGGCTGAAAAGGAGGCAAAGGGTGAGGACAGAGAGACAAGATGGAAGTGGGGGAGAAAAACAAGGATGAGAGAATGCCAGGTGGTGCTGAGAAGGACAGGAGAGACTTTTCTGCTTGTAAAGGGCACACAATGGCAGAATCCAGCTATGCAGAGGCATCTGGCTCCAGAAATAACAGGCCACTTAGCACTCACTCCTTCAAAACGGTGAGCTTCATAAACAATCTTATTTGTCTGATGTGGATATTTCATGCCTAGCAGATGTGTTCCACAGCATTTCTTGTTGAGAGTCAACCTCATCAAGGTGATTTGAGAGGAGAGCATTACTTACGTGACAGCTACCTGCTTTTATTTGAGACTCTAAGATGGGAGAATTCAGATTAGATATTGCCAGTTGCATTCTTTGTATCTCTTTTGAAATATGAGAGTTGACTTGGACTGTGGAAACTATTTTCTTCTTGTTTCTTTATTACCACATATTTAACATGTGTCGACAAGCTGACTGTTAATTGGCTGGCTGAAGTTCAGAAACAGCATCCTATGGGAAGGGGAAGCAAAGCCACAAACAAACTTAAACATTTCTTAATGTCATTATGGCTCTCAATGGCTGTCTTATACTAATGGAGATCTCTCTACATCTCACACACACACACATGCTTGGCACTTTATATTATAAAGTGGCAAAAACCACAATTACTTTTGCACCAACCTGATAGTAACTCACTACGTGTAAGGAGATTATGGAGATGCAACCTTCTTTTCCCCTTATCTTACTGGCTTCTTCCTAATAAGCTGAATTTGGGTGTGAGGGTACTCAGAGAGAGGCAAGGTTGACTTTAATTTTCCGTTTGAAGGGTATCTGTATTTGAAAGAGGACAATTCAGATGTTGCCTTTACCCATGTAGCAACAAATAGCTTTTACTATTACTTTTATGGGCTTCAGAGAGGCTACATAATCGTCTCAGAAGTCCCTGCTGACTGTGATTTTTAAAGGAATGTTATTTTGCAAGTAAAGTGACTGAGAAGTAACTATAATCTTCAGGGGTAGAGAATCAGAAAAGATGTGAGGTTGGTATGATAGCCTTGGGAAGATAAAATAAGCCAATGGAGAGCTTATAGTTTTAGAGCTGAACTCAGGTTGGATCTTTTATCTGGTAACATTTTAAATATTCAGTGTTATTCTCTATCATTACTAATAGCCAGAAGATAATTTTGTTTTCACAAGGAAGGATAAGGAAGAATTCAGGGCAAAATTGACAAGAAATGATTCTCAGGATTGGCTACTTGACAGCTATCAAAATAGGCTTCAGAAAGCTTAACTGTTGTATACCCATCAAAGAGTGAGAGGAATTAATGAATTCTAGATGAATTCAGTATGTTCTGCAAGGCTACGAAGATCTAAATTTCATGTTGCATGAATATTTTTTAGTTTAAGAATTGGTACCAGTTACCTCGTGATTGGTACACTGGATTAAGAATTAAAAGATCTGAAACTGGGATAAAGAATGAAAGAAAGTTATGTATCTGGAGCTATGACAAAGAAAGTTTTTAAAACAATTGCTTATTATCTTTAATTCAAGGTAATTACTATTACTGTTCTCCAACCTAAAAAAATCACTTCTGCTATTTTGCTTCCTCTTCTACCCCTTTTCTTCCTTTTCTTGTACTCATATTTAACATGTTTCTGTGACAACTTTAGTAGTTAATCTGCTTATGCCATTCTGGACACAAAGGGATTGTGTCCCCATGTGTGGGAATCAGTCCCAGTGAAGGGGGAATGAAATTAAATTACAATCTCAAGTCCTCCGAAGAAGTCCCTGAAGAGCTCAGCCCCTGGTTAAAATCCATGTGTGAATTTTCAGGCCTGACCATAGGCAATTACAATGGTGTTACCTGGCAGGCCTCATGGGGAAGGCTGCCTTCCCCATACCAGACTTTCCAGCCAATGCACTGCAGCCTTGGGAGGGAGGGGCAGTCAAGGACTCAGGTCCCCCAGCCAATCATGTTCTTTCATATGTTTACCTTCCTAACCCAAGAACCTTCATTCCTAGGTCTCTGACACCTCAGACAGAGTTCTTCTTCAGGTTCCTCTGCTGAAACCTTCTTATGCAGGAGGAGGGAAAAACCTTGAGGACACTTTTCTGCATTCTGACTCAATAGTCAGGATGTTTCCCATTCCTAGCCTTTCTCCTCTTCCATCCACAGCACTCTTCCCTTGTCTATGATGACCCATCTGACTGTTAATCGGCGTGCCTTTCCGTGGGGAAAAACGAAGAGGGAGAGTCAGTGCCTCCACCAGTTAGCCTCTTGCTTACAACATTGCAACATGTGATTAAAAGCTGAATCCTGTCATTTTTAACAGGTTGTTTTAATAGGTTGCTCTGATACCTGGTACTCAGCTCTCTCTCTGCCTCTGTCTTTCTCTCTCAGCCCAGCTGAGTTCTAGACAGTCCCGGCTTTGCCTCTTACTGGTATGTGACCTTAGGCAAATCATTTAACGTTTCTGAGCTTCATTTTATCATTTGCAAATTTAAGACAATAGTACTCCATGGAGTTCTTATGAGGATTATATGAGGTGCTTGTGAAAAATACCTTACCCGGTAGATTGCGACTCAGTTCTTAATCAGAAACAGAAACAGAAACAGTGGTCACTTATCTAAGGTCCTCTAAGGAGAACTTGCGCTTACATATTTTCCTACAGTGCCTTGGATTACATCATATGGCAAAGTCCTTTTATGTGTAAATGGCAGCTGTGGGTGTAATGACTTGTTAGCGTCTGTTTACTTTCTTTTTTTTTTGAGACAGTTTCACTCTCGTTGACCAGGCTGGAGTGCAATGACGCAATCTCACAATCTCGGCTCACTGCAAGCCCCGCCTCCCAAGTTCAAGCAGTTCTCCCAGCCTTTAGAGTAGCTGGGATTAATAAAAAATTAATAAAAAATTAAGCAGGCAGGATGTGCCACCATGCCTGCTTAATTTTTTTGTATTTTTAGTAGAGACGGGGTTTCACCATGTTGGCCTGGCTGGTCTCAAACTCCTAACCCCATGTGATCCGCCCGCCTCGGCCTCCCAAAGTGCTGGGATTACAGGTGTGAGCCACCATGCCCCGCCTTTTTTTTTTTTTTAATTAACATTCACACCTCAAAAAGATATACTACGTATATAGGGTAAGAGATTAAATATAAACACAGCAAGTTCCACCCCAGTCCTATTTCTCCAAGGCTACATGGCCAAATGGAATCTTGAAGAGAACACCTAGACAACAGAGGACTTATCAGTGACATCTCCGGTCTGGACTTCTGCTGCATCTTTGGCCACCTCTCCTCTTGCCTTTTGGTAAACCCCGAACAAAACACCAGTCAATGCTGAATGGCCATCCCATCAAATCCTGGCCATTGAGTTCCTCCACAGCAGCCTGGTCCTCCTTGTATATGTCATACTGAACTAGAGTATACCCCTTCAGATACCCTGTTCGCCTTTTACTTTTATCCTGTTTACTTTCTGGCTAATTCTGGAAGGAATTTTTTTTTTTTTTGTCTTCCTGGCAGCATTTTTTTTTTATTTTGATGCTTTTTGTCAGATACATTTCCTCCTGCTGACGTTCATGTTGTATGGTGCATATGTTAACATGGCAATGAGATATTGCAGTAAGACTACAGCTTCACAAGGGGTTACATAAATGATAGTCTCCAAACAGAAACCAGTGTAACTGCCAGAAGGGAAACCTTCAAGATTCTCAACTTCATTTTCAGTTATGTTGTCAGAATAAATACATTCTCTAATGGCAGAAGGAACTTCAGCTAAGGGTCTATAGTTGATGGAGGATAACACTCAGCTACTCACAGATCTAAACAAGATAGCATTTCCCAAGATTATAACTTACGTGTGAAAGGTACTAAAAATGACTAAATTTGGTGCCCCATATCATCCCTTATGATCTCAGATGTCAGGGAGAAGCCCAAGGTCAGAAACTCAGACTGTGCTTGTGCCTGTCAGGCAGAAGCTCTAGTATGAGCTCATAGGTGTCTAGAAAACTTTGCCCAGACTGGGGCAGAGAATGCTACTTTCCTTAAAGCCAAACATCATAATGAGGCTTCTTGCTAAGTTTATTGTTAGATTTATTCCATTTTGAGCTTATTTTCAAGTGGTATTGCACTTGAGGTTGGCGCTAAGTAGCTCTTAATAATTCTCTGATCTTGACATTGGCTTACCTCACCATATGAAGATAAGAGTCCGAGAATGGGGAGATCTCAGTGCATGGGTCAGAAAATTGGCTATTTCCATCACATGTGAGACATTTAGATTCTGAGGGAAGAAGTGAACTTTTTCCAGTTCTGGCAAAGTTTTATTTAGACTAATGAGCTCATGCTAGAGAGTCTTTCGTGACAAATATGAGCACCATCTGGGTTCCTGACATTAGCCTTGTTCCTCATCTCTGAGATCAACCATCGAAACAAGCTAGTGCTACTCAGAAGTGTTTGTATGTGCGCGCGCGCGTGTGTGTATGTGTGTGTGTGTGTGTGTGTGTGTGTGTGTGTGTGTGTGTGTGTGTCTGGGAAGGGGGAGTAGGATTCCTGACACATGTTCTACATGCTTTCTTGTAAGATCCCCCGAAGAGCTCAGCCCCAGTTGCCCACACTGATAACCTGCTTGTTAACACATCCCTTATTGGCTTTTCTCCTTTCCTTATTTCATTTCTCCTACTTTCTCACTTGTGTTTCTTAGATCATCTCCCAAAATAAACTACTTGTACCCAAGTGCTTGTTTCAGTGTCTGCATTTGGGTAACTCTAAGACAGAACCATTAAAAAAAAAAAAACCCTTGAAGGATAAAAATCTAACACAAAAATATGTTGATACTACATGTACAATCCACATTTTGGTAAGATGAAAAATAATAAGTAAGCCACAAACCAAATAAACAAATTCTACATGGTTGTCAAAACACACACACACACACACACACACACACACACACACTCAGATTGGTCTAAACAAGTGGAAGATAACTTGAATGAAAGCAAACAACTTGATGAGACACAAAGTCAGAAAATAGAAAATTTTCTTCGTATCATAAACAAAATGAAAATGACAAATTAGAAGATGTGTCCATAGTAAGAAATGACTAAGGAAAAGAAATAAAATGCACTGGAGTCTGGGGAGATTTACTGCAGGCAGTATTTACTGTGACCAGAATGAGCTAACACA